GTGTCGGGTGGTGGCGGGTTTGACAACACGTTTATATTTAGGAGATCTAACCCAAAACACCTACATTGTGGATTCGATGTTGGCTTGTCAGCTGACGCTGTTGGAGGCAGCGGAGGGTTGGTGCCTGGTGGATCGTGGGCATCGAAGTTCAATCCCGGACTCGCCGGCAGAATGCAGTACAGCAGAGTGTGGACTGATATCGCGTGGCACTTCTGTATGGGGACCCAACGTGGTTATCTGAGAAATAAATGTAGGAATTAATGAAGATCAATATTTTAACCAATTGTTCATTTTGTGAGGTTTCCTAACTAGCGAGTGACTGCAAATGAATAACAAAAAAAAATTCAACGGACATGCGTGAAGTCAATTGTTCGCGCTCGCTGGTGACTCTTGTAAGGGGCCGTCCATAAATGACGTCACGCGATGTTGGAGGATTTTTGACCTTCCCCCGCTTCGTCACACGGCGTCACATAAAGTCAGACCCCCCCCCTCAAATATGACGTCACAAAGCTCTGCCCCCCCCAAATGAAACATGCTTCAAATCGCTTTAAACTATTGTCATTGTAGTGCGTATTTAATGTGGCGCTGCACTCTGATGTTGTAGGAGAAAACATTTATTATAAAGTCTATTTAATTAAGTAGAACGTGTTGTCTATATTTAAATAAATATAGACAACACGTTATATATTTATTTAAAGTTGCGCATGTTGATGTGACGTCACATTTCTCAACCCCCCCCCCCCCTCGTCACACATCGTCACAAATGTCTGACCCCCCCCCCCTCCCAATAGGTGAGTGACGTCATTTATGAATGGCCCCTAAACCCGCATTGCTCACGACCAATGAGTTGAGAAAGGTCTTTTATATCGCTCAAGGTTACCATATAGATTTTAAATGTAGCGTCGTAATTTTATATTGGCATACTCATACATGATTATTCACCAATGACTCTCATGCATCATTTCACACATTTTCCATCACCTCACGTACCCCGAGGGGTCAACGTACCCCCGGCTGAGAACCACTGGGATAGAGTGTTGTCCCCTCGCACGCGTGGGGTTTCTCTGGGTGCTCCGGTTTGCCTCCCACATGTAACAATAAACCCTAACTGGCTGAAAACATCTCACAATAACGATAACTGCAGAGCAATTGTTTACAACGACTCACCACCTGCCAACCTTCCAGCTTGTCTGTGCTTCCTCAGGTGAAATGCAATTTGCATGGACGACGACGCAATACACAAAATCTATATATTTTTAATCTTGATCTATGTATTTTTTTTATCTATAATTTTTGTACAATTTGATTTTGGCTTGTCAGTTCGCACTTGTGGTATTTCAAAGGCGGCGCATCTTAGTCATAAAGAAAACCCGCCATGATATATTTACATGTTATACTTTTGCTGCTCTATATACGAAGCGAATATACCCTGCATACCGATTCGATATAAAATTGATCAACTTGTGTACACTGGCTCAGCAACAAGCACGCTAATCACTAAGCTGCCAGACTCTCCAATCACCCTGAGATGTCTCCAATTAACTCCCCCCCCCCCATACGCTGACACCGCTGTCCTCCAGTGAAACGTCGTTTTAAAATATTAATGTGTGTATGCTGACCTTCTTTTGCACTGTATATAGCCAACCGTGCTAATTGGAGGTGCGGGGGTGGATAACAAACTAAACACACACAGAAGTTTTCCAATAAATGAGTTTTCAATCGAGATGATTTAAAAGTGCATAGCTCCCAGTGGCTCCTTAATATCGTAAGGAAGAGAGCGTTCCAGACGGTTACAGAAGCGTATCTGAAAGTGCGAGATGGGGTGATCATCTTTGTTTCTTGCCGAGATCAGCAAAGGTATTATGGTTCATTTGTGGCAGGCACTTTGGGGCCGTCCATAAATGACGTTACGCGATTTTGGACGCTATTTGACCCCCCCCCCCCTTCGTCACACGACGTCACAAAAAGTCAGACCCCCCCCCCTCAAATATGACGTCACAAAGCTCTGCCCCCCCCCCCCCCACCAAAAAAAACATGCTTCAAAGCGCTTTAAACTATTGTCATTGTAGTGCGTATTTAATGTGGCGCTGCACTCTGATGTTGTAGTAGAAAACATTTATTAAAAAGTATATTTCATTAAGTAGAACGTGTTGTCTATATTTATTTAAGTTGCGCATTTTGATGTGACGTCACATTTCTCACCCCCCCCCCCTCGTCACACATCGTCACAAATGTCTGACCCCCCCCCCCCCCCAGGTGCTTGACGTCATTTATGGACGGCCCCAAAGGCTTTGAAGTTTCAACCCCAACAGGGACGCTTGGACACTGTGGATTCGTCACAAGAACCACCGGTTTCCTGCGCTGGCTGTGAAAGTAAAACATCAGGCACGTGGTGACGAGTTTTACAATTGAACACGTGGTAGTAGTAGGCTTTCGCGACCAAGATTATCCATAACAGTGGGGGGGGGGGGTTAGATTGCGTAAATGTGTCGTTAAACCCGTCACCACGCTCTCCAATACACCGGTGCGCTGGACGAGTAACTAATTGGCATGTTTTGTTTGGCTATGTCGGGTGGTGGCGGGTTTAAAGATGCATTTCGCCCGCGAAGGTCACTCTGTTGAACAAGCGAAGAGACATTTGTGCTACCACGAGCTGCTGCGCCACAGGAACAGCTACCGGCGGCCCCTCTGGGTACCGGGCGTGACACCAGACGCATTCCCCCAGCGAAGCAGCGGATCTTGCCCTGGACCCTGCCCAGGACCCGACCACCCTGCATCTGCAACATTACTTTAGCTCCCAGCATTGCACCCCCTTCCATCTATGCAATTTGTAAAAGATGGTAATGTCCATGGCAGTTCTGACAACCATAACTGCTTATGCGAACCCCTAACTCTTAACCCCCAACACTAACCTCTAACCCGTAACAGCTAACTTTAACCCCTTACTCTGACCCCAATCTCGAACCGCTAATCCAAATCCTAAACCATCAACCTTACCCTACCCTAACCCCGAACTCTAACCCCTAACTTAGCCTCGCGTGCCGAAGGAGTTCACCCGTGGAACTGTGGCCCATTGTTCAACTATGTCCCATTGCCCCTCACACCCTTCCCAAATGGATATTACCTCATACAGAGTGGGTTGTCCTTCTGCTTTAATACTTACACCCGTTAAGAAAGGTTTAGGACAGGGGTCGGCAACCAAAATAACAAGAAGAGCCATTTCTTTCCAATTCGGTACAAAATTCAGTATTTCAAGAGCCGCAATGCATCTATTTCGTACGTACATATCGTCAAGAAGCAGCCCGTAAAGAGCCGCATGCGGCTCCGGAGCCGTAGGTTGCCGACCCCTGGTTTAGGAGTTTATCCTATGGATCTTACGATCAGTCTGCTCTCTGCAGTAGAGTCCTACGTCGGGGTCTCTATCCGGCGGTGCGGGCCGGAATGCCGTCACTGTTGCCGCTTGCGGTTTCGGGTTTTGGGTCAGGCCATGCTCTCATCGTGCGTCATCCGTGGGTGACCCGCGTGTCGAGAACTTTCGAGAAATTGTGCGGTGCTACATGTTGTACCGTTTATTGACGGTGTGGGTAGAACCACAGCGTGACCGCATGTGGAATGCTCGCGTCCCATCGCGTGTGCTCTGAGCCGAGGGCGTGGAGCTGGCCACCCACACCCTCATGTGCCGTTCCAGCCTTCACAGGTGCTACTCTGCTAACAACACTTGCCCCAACAGTCAAAATGGAAATATGGTTTGGGGGGGGGGGCAGAGCTTTGTGACGTCATATTTGAGGGGGGGTCTGATTTTTTGTGACGCCGTGTGACGAGGGGGTGGGGGGTCAAAAATCGTCAAAAATCGCGTGACGTCATTTGTGGACGGCCCCATATCGTGTGGAGGACAATAGTGTGAAAGGTAAATTTGAAATCTGCAATTATTTTGGAATAATCGTGTGAGCGAGAGATGAACGTATCTTGTAAAACCTGTCGTCAGGTATGTGTATGACAGGCCATACCACTGGTACATCATCTCCGCGGAACAACAAGTCTTTTGCAACTTGTGTGAAAGTAATCCGAAAAATATTTTGAAACCAAAAATTGAACCAAAGATACACTGCAAACAAGACAATCAATAACAAAATTAGCAGCATCAGCTGAAACAGCGGATGACATCCTGTGTCTCCGCAGCAATGTGACAACAGATGTGAAACACGGTTGCTCACATGTTGTACGACGGTCACGTCATCGCTTGGTGGTGACGTCACCACCTTGTGAGCCAATCAGCAGGCACCATGAATCCCGTCCAAATCAGGAGGGACAGGAGAGCATGACTGCACTTATAATATAGACATTGCTACGGGATTAATTAATTGTACTAATTAGTGTTGGTGTGTCCTTAGACGCCAGTTACGCGCCAGGAGATGAATTGGTCGTGTAATTAAGTCCATATTCACGGGAGTGTGTGCCGCATGGGGATTCTTGATTACTGCATTTAATGTATACATTTTGCAAGAGGCGTAACGCTGTTGTTTGGTAACTGTGCGGGGTGGAAGTATTTAGAGGGAGTTTCGTGCCAGCAAGTGTAGCACAGGGTGTGAAATAGGGGTCTGAAATAAGCCCCCCCCCCCCTCCCAATTTAAAGAGTCAAATCAGAGTGAAATAAATTGCATCTCTAGGTTATATGGCTGGTCAGAGGATAAGTACGACCACTGGAAAGATAAAAAAAAACACTTTCTTGAGAGTTAGAAAAGGGTGGAATGTTTGGAACAACATTACATTTTGTGGGGGAGAGTGTGGCACAGGGTGTAATTAGGGGTCTGAGATCAGTCCCCCCCCCCCCCCTCATTAATAAGTCAAATGAGGGTGCAATTAATTGCATCCCTCGGTAAGATGGCTGGTTAGGAGTGTAATTATTTGACGTTGATGGGCAATGCACTGCTGAGGCTTTGCCCCCCCCCCCCCCCCGCACACATAAGCGTAATCTGTAGCGTCGCATCCTGCGCTGATGTGAAACTCAGTTTCAGAGGGAGTTATGGAGATTTAACACGTAGCCTTTCCCGACCGATATTATTAAAGTTTTTTTGTACGGCTAGATCGCGTAAATATGTGTCGTTAAACCCACCACCACCCGACACAGCCAATTAGTCAGGTTCTGTCAAGTGAACAAAATCTGCCAACTCGTGGTGGTGGGTTAACACATTTATATTTACGTACTTCAAAATAAACTGAACTGATGTGAGGGGAGGTGTTACATGGTTCAATTAAAAACATATGCTAAAATATAAAAGCCACAAATATAGGTAAGATTTCAAGACTTAGTTGAGAGTGGAGTGATGTAAAAATGCTGGTAAAATACAGTGTGGAGGGTGTGGACCACATTTGAGCGAGGCGGTTGGTGAACTAGCACAGGAAGGGCAAGTGAATAATTAATTTAGCTTTATGCAAGTGGCTGATTCAGTGGCACAGCATACACTTAGTTTATTAGTTTATTAATTAGCAGTAAAACCACGTGCACTGAGCGTTAATTCAAACATATGTAGAACAGCTTGGGCAGTATTATATTCCAAATAGGTGTAGGGCTTAAATTATATTAAGACATTAAGCAAGCCCAGCCCAGATTTCATATAAAGAACTCACTCAAACACATAATTGAGATGCTTGGAGAAACGACAGCAGAAGGATACCGACCGCAAGCAGCTCTCCCCAACAGCCAGCCAGCAGTGGAGAGAGGAGCTGATGAGGGAGAACTGCCAAGCTTGATTGCTTGGGTCAGGAGCAGGGATAAGCAAGGACACTTCAGCAAAGGGGGGTGGGGGGCGGAGCACAAGGAGGCGGCCTCTAGCACCACCCTACAGTGGTAAAGGAGCCAGTGGTGCAAATATCGCAGCCAAATCCACAGAAGCCAAGGATCTTCTGTTATTCGGACCCATGTCTCCAATATTGTGAGCACCAAAGTCTAAATACTGTAGTGTAGGGGGGGTGTCAAGACTAAACGAGTGTTGGAAACCACAAAGTCATCACAACAATCCCCAGAACTGAGGAAGAACCGAGATCAGAGAACTCAGGAAAGTACGACACCCCATGCGACTCACCATACTTTTGTAGATAATAGGAATATCCCCAGGCTAGGCTAATGTTGCCTTATCTAAGAGTGTGTTTCCAGCCAAAACAATCCCCTACCTAATCGATGGTGCCGGACGGTAACAGTGGTGGATGTGCCATGGGAGGAAGGCCAATTCAAATCAGCTTTTCCCCTTATGGTGCTCATAGCCACCGCAGCAGCCAATGGGGGCTCTAGATGGGTACAAGGGGCTGGTAACTCCTCCACCTTCAACCTAATTACCACTAAAACGCGTGTTAAGAATCTAATTAAGCTTGTGCCAGAGGTCCCAGGGGGACAGGCATCTATGAAGTCTCCTGGCCAAACCCCATTTGGCAGAGCCAGGAGACTGAACCTAAGCCCTCGGGGTTCCTCCAGAAATGGCAAATAAAACACTTTGAGTGACAACACGGAATGTTAAAACGCTCAATGTAGAGAGGCTGCCACTCTTTTGGGAGCTGAACCGGTTCCCGTCAGGATCTCTGCGTTATGCAGGAGGGCCGGTGGACTGGCTCTGATTCCAGTCAGCACGAGGGGTGGACAGTACTCTACTCTACTCGGGGCAAGATACTGCCAAACAATGGAGTGACCTTTTCCTATGAACATAAGAATGTGGGGGGTGTGGGAGAATGGCGGTGAGGTGTGGGAAATTGTGAGCCCCAGGCTACTGCGGGTTTACCTTCCCATCAACCAGAGCTGAGTGGTGGTCGTTGTTACTTATGCCCCCATCAAAGATAAACATCAGTGGAGAGATGCATGCAAGGCGGATGAGTCGGATGCCTTCGATGACCTCCTGTCACAGGTGCTAGCTAAAGTACCCCCTCAGGATAGTCATCCTGTTGAGTGACTTTAATGCCCGAGTGGGTCATGATGCTGGCACTTGGGCTGGGGTGACTGGAAGACATGGGTCAGATCAGCTCAAAAACAACAGTAGGCGGTTGTAAGACTCGTGCAGCCCATGGGCTTGTAATTACCAACATGCTGTTCTGGCATCGGCACATCCACACATGTGTAGTGACAGGGTGCCACCTGTCGGCCAGGAGGGGTAATCACGGGTATGGGCGAGTTATATAATAACCAAATAGAAGGGGGGCGTAACGGGGTTAAAGATAAAAGGTGGGGTCAGTCGGGAAGCTCCGGGAATCTGCTCGAAGGTTCTAGAAGGGGCCTTGGCTGGAGGCGGAATCTGGCCACGCCGGGAAGTGTATAGGGGGGACGTGACCGAAGGTTTGGGGCTGTCGCAGGGTCCCAGGTCCTGGCTGCATCGCTGCTCGCCGTCATCTCTTCGTCGTCCGGCCGCATGGCCGATCCTCTGCACGGCTCCGATCATCGTAATCACTACATTAGTCAGCCAGCTATGTCGTTAGACGCCGACGATGGGGCTATGTAGAAAGGTTGGCTGTGTGTAGCTATGTAGATACGTTTCTCTATATTGCCCAGTGTTTGTGCCCAAGTGTAAAAAATAAATGAGAAGCCTTCTACACGTTGTGTCTCGGAAGTCGCTCATTACACTTTGATACTGACAAGAAAGGTCCCAAGTTAGGTAGATATACACTGGGCTTTTTTTAATTAACAAAGTTCTTAAATCCAAATCAGCATGGGATTTAACTGATATTCTTAGTTTTAAAAATGCAAGAATCCTTGTATGGACCTTTTTGACTGCTGACTATTTCTAGATCAAGAACTCACACTGGGGTCCAAGGCCTGCTCTTGCACAGCATTCAAATTTTGTAATTTCCTCAACCAATATTAATATTCCAAATTTACTTTCTGTACCATGTTAAGGCCATCCTGCAGAATTACTTGTTAGAAATGTGAATGGTATAACTAAGCTCCGTCTATAGCATACGTCTGAAATAATTTTTTACACCGTTTTTTACGTGTTAATTATCCTGTTCACAATAAATTTTGGCATGGATTTTGTATAAACAATTGTTGTTTTGCTGTGGTTAGTTTAAATATTCCCACGCTGCAATGCAATATAGCTGCCGTCACTGCCGACGGTATTGGACTGTGGTCGTTCTATTTTTAAAAAGGAGCCGCTTATTAGCTCAATGGCTGAAATAAATTCCCGATTGCAGTCGGCCAAAGACACACAGAGCTTCTCGCGCAAGTGACCACGATGTTACAGGTGCGGGAATGCAGAGGGGTTGACGGTGGTCGCATTGGTCGGAGGAACAGGGGGGTCAACACGGGAGTCCTGGAGGCTGCTGAGGGTCGTTGGCGGGTCGACAGCTTCGTAGTAAGCCAGGAACCCCCGGCCGCCCACCGACGCGTCCGAGTGGAACTTCAGCGTCATCACGTTAGCTAGGAGATGCGCAATAAAGATATTTTAAAACCATGTTTAAATACGCATGTCACCGAAGGCAATCTCTCCCCAGTGGGCACACTGGTCAAGGTGGATCCCATGAACGATAACAAAGTCACAAACCTATAATACCTTAAATGAGCAAAGTTAACATAGAGGTAATGAGACGAGTGGTGGTGCAGTGATTAACGTGGCGATCAGAGTTACATTTCCAGTCATGGCTAATGTAAATTAATTGAAAACTCTTGATTTAAAAAATAATTCCTTTAGAACTGCTTTTTTATTTTAGTTTGTTGTCCTTCTGCACCTCCGATTAGTACGGTTGACTGTGTACAGTGCGAAACAAGTTCAATATACGTACAACATAGAATTAGTGAGGGATATCTGAACCAGTCCAGGGCTGCTACCTTCCCTACACCAACCGACAGCAACCAGCTTGTTGACAGTCAAACACTCCTCCAATTATTTGGCAAATTTACATTATTCAGGATAAATTTTGACTTAAAACTTTCGTGAATGCAGGAATTAATATTCTTTGGTTCTTTCGGTAAAGTCACGTAGATAAAAAAAATAACTAAATAAAGTGAATATTTTTTTAAATTATATACTTAAAAAAACACACTAATGTAGACTGTAGCCTGGTTATTAAGTTTGGTGAGTGTACTGGCACTCTATAATGTAGATTGTAGCCTGGTTCTTAACTTGAGTAAGTGCACTGGCAGTCTATAATGTAGACTTATTCTTGGTTCTTTCGGAAATAAAAATAAAATAAAAACAAAAACCACGACGTTTTGATCGCAACACAAGCGGTCGTCATCAGGAAAATGGGGGTTAGCCTCTAAAGGCAAACTGTTTACAAAGGTTTAGAGATGGGCGTAGCCCAAGTGTGTCAGCAGCATGGGAGGGGCAGCTAATGTTAATGTCGGAGAAAGCAACGACACAGGCCGTGGGTCTACACCAGGGGTCCTCAAACTACGGCCCGCGGGCCACATGCGGCCCGCTGAGGACATTTATCCGGCCCATGGTCTCTAATTGGGCTGCGCTGGTGAGCACTCATTGGGATGCGGTGGTGGGCACTGATTGGGCTGCGGTGGTGATAACTGATTGAGCTGCGGCGGTGGGCACTGATTGAGCTGCGGCGGTGGGCACTCATTGGGCTGCGCTGGTGAATGGTTCAATGGGCCAATTGACTGGACTTGCCCCCCAGGCCTAAGGCTGCCAGCCCTCCCCTGGCTGCGCTTGACTGGCTTTCCCTCCCTCAGCTCCCTCACTTGCCCCTCGACTCCACTCCCAATGATATTCTTGTGTGCTGGGGATGTACTGCGATCTGTGAACAAAACTGCAGGTGTAATTAACTTTTTAATGGCACCCGCACCAGTGTGAGCCTGGGGTAAAAGCGGAGTTCCCCCAATCAGACTGCATTGATGGGCAGTGCAGTCTGTATGTCTCTGTGTGGGCAAAGTTATTGCTGGTATATTGTTTTTGTAGCGCTGTATATATATTGGTATTTTACTAATAGCAATTTTGACTCCCTAGGAAACAATGTTGTCAAGAAAGAGAAAACTTGACTCGGAGTGTAGGATATTCAAAGAACAGTGGACTTATGATTACTTTTTCATGCAGTACAAGAAAAGAGCTGTGTGTCTGATATGCCAGAATATAGTGTTTGTGTTCAAAGAATACAATTTACGTCGACACTATGAGACTCAACATGAAGATAAATATGATTGTTTGGTCGGAGAAGTGAGAAAAGATAAAATATTAAAACTGAAAAATACATTAACAACTCAGCAAAATACTTTTGTGAAGCAGAAGCAGCTAAATATTTCATCACTGCGAGCAAGTTTTCAAGTTGCCAAGCTAATAGCGTGCACTGGCAGACCATTCGTGGAGGGAGAATTTGTTAAAGAATGCCTTCTTTCTGTTGCCAAAGAGATGTGTCCAGAGAAGGCCGATTTATTTAGTACAGTGAGTCTTTCAGGACCTACAATTACACGGAGGATTGAAGAAATGGGAGACAATTTACATCAGCATTTACAAAACTCCACAAAAAAACTTTCCTATTTTTCCTTGGCACTCGACGAAAGCAATGATGTTCGTGATTCTGCACAACTTCTATTTTTTATTCGTGGGACGAATGACTATTTTGAAGTCACAGAAGAGCTTGCTGCACTGCAAAGGAACAACTACAGGAGAGGATATCTATGAAAAAGTTTGCCAAACTGTGAATGGTTTGGAGCTGAACTGGGCTAAACTAGCCAGTGTGACAACTGATGGTGCTCCTAGCATGGTGGGGTCTAAGAAAGGAGTAATTGCTCGCATTAACCAAGAGATGGACAAACATAACCATTCTCATCCAATAGCCATACACTGCCTCATCCACCAACAAGCGCTGTGTAGTAAATCACTGAAGTGGGACTCTGTTATGAAAATTGTGGAATCTTGTGTTAACTTCATTAGAGCTCATGCACTAAACCACAGACAATTTCAGGAATTTCTGTCTGAACTAAATGTTGACTATGAAGATGTTCTGTACCACACAGAAGTCCGTTGGCTGAGTCGAGGGAGAGTTTTGAAACGTTTCTATGACTTACTTCCGCAGATTACAGCTTTTCTGCTTTCAAAAAACAAAGAAGTACCAGAGCTCAACGATGCAGAATGGAAATGGCACCTTGCCTTTCTGACAGATGTAACAGAGCTACTCAACAGTTTAAATGTGCAACTTCAAGGAAAGGGGAAGCTCATCTGTGATATGCAATCACATGTCAAAGCATTTGAAGTAAAATTAGGCCTCCTCATCAAACAAGTTAAGGAGAAAAACTTCTGCCATCTCCCCACAACTCAAAATCTGTTAGCGGAAAAACCATTGGTTGCAATTCCCAAACAAAACATGTGTGGATTTACTGGAAAAATTGCAAAAGGAGTTCCAATTTAGATTTAAAGAGCTTCATCTCCATGAACAGGACATACAGCTTTTCCGTAACCCATTTTCTATTGACATTGAAAATGTGGATACAATTTACCAAATGGAACTGGCTGAACTGCAGAATTGTGACTCTCTGTAAGACGCATTCAAGTCAAGCAGCCTTCATAATTTCTATGCATCTCTCCCCTCTGAGACATATCCTCATCTCAGGAACCATGCACTCAAAATGGCAACCATCTTTGGCAGCACTTATGTCTGTGAACAGACTTTTTCCAGAATGAAATATTTGAAATCTCCAACCAGATCTAGACTAACGGATGCATACTTGCATCACTTGTTACGACTAGCAGTGACAAATATGGAACCGGACATTGACCATCTCATTGGCCAAAAGCAGGCCCATAGTTCCCATTGAAATACTGGCAAGTTTGTTGATTTAACTTTACTTGTTCTTCATTATAAATATTGTATTTGTTCCCGTTTTGTTTCTTCACTTCAAAATAAGATATATGCAGTGTGCATAGGAATTTGTTCATAGTTTTTTTTAAACTATAGTCCGGCCCTCCAACGGTCTGAGGGACAGTGAACTGGCCCCCTGTTTAAAAAGTTTGAGGACCCCTGGTCTACACCAATGAAAGGGCCGCCAGGCAATCATTGCACATGTCGCTTAGTTTCCCCAATGTAACTGCTGCCGCAGACACAGCTTAGTTTGTAGACACCGGGATATTGCTTTTGGTCGTGACTTGATTTGTATTTTCTTGTCAACTTCCACCGTCAGCAGTGTGGGTGTGTGGAGCGAGGTGCAATGTTTGCCTGGCGGCCATTTGATTGGTGGAGACCCGCTGCGTTGGTGTTGCTTTCTCCCACATTAACATGAGCAGCTCCTCCCATGCTGCTGACACACTTGGGCTGCGCCCATCTCTAAACCTTTATAAACAATTTGCCTTTAGAGGCTAAACCCCTCTTTTCCTGATGATGACCGCTTGTGTTGCGATCGAAACGTCGTGGTTTTTGAAAGAACAAAGAATAAGTCTACATTATAGACTGCCAATACGCTCACCAGCTTAAAAAACAGGCTACAGTCTACATTATAGACTGCCAGTACACTCAACAAGGTCAAGAACCAGGCTACAGTCTACATTATAGACTGCCAGTACGCTCACCGAGGTTAAGAACCAGGCAACAATCTACATTATATACTGCCAGTACACTCACCAAACTTAATAACCAGGCTACAGTCTACAATATATACTGCCAGTACACTCACTCCGATTAAGAACCAGGCTACAGTCTAAATTTGTGTTTTTTATTATTTGTATTTTATTTTTATTATTTTTATTCACTTTTATTTTTGTATTATTATTATTTTCTATCTACGTGACTTTACCGAAATAACCAAAGAATATTATTCAGGGTCACGATTCAATTTAAGAAACCATGATTTCTCATAGATACGATTTCTAGTTTTACTGCATTTTTGTACAGTATTTGCGACATCAGCTAAAATGTAAGATTGGACAAATTACAAATTGACTGTATGACCGTTATTGAATGCATTATCACACGCATATGAATCCATTTTTGTCAATACATAAATGCATTACTACATGCCTAATGACTGATAGTGGGCAATGAGTGAAACAGGTCAATAAAACAGGAACTGCATTCTGCCACTGACACGTATAGGTCAAGGTCAAGAAGTCACTAGTCATAATTTAATAAAGTCATGAGATTTCTATGGAAGACAGTTTTAAAGAGCCCATAAGTCTGTTAGCTCCTTTGCACAACACTGAGCAAATAAATTGCTGCTCTTTTGCGAAACATGAGAATATAATTCCGCATTGTGATTACAATTAAAATGAAACCCACGTAATGTACTTATGTTGTAGTGGTCGTTTTGTTTTCATGCACGAATCACTTGTGTTTGGGTTCTTTAGCAAAGCTACGGGTGCCAGGGTGGTGAAATGTTATCTCCCTCACCTCGTATACAGGAGGCCGTGGGTTTGATTCTGACCCTTGATGTCTGTATATTTGGAGTTTGCATGTTGTCACCGTGGTTGCGTGGATTTTTCTCCGGGTCCTCCGGTTTTTGCCTCCACGTTTAGAAACATGCGCTTAGAGTAATTGGCTGCTATAAATGTCTACATTATAAGCAACTTCGTTGAGTCATTGTTTGTGGCCAGGTCACGTCTGAAAAAGAGCTATATATCTCAGGTGGGCCTGACCTGGTCATTTTTTCTCAAAGCAAATGAATCAAATCCTCAACCCGATTGGAATTTTGTGACTTACTGATGCACAGAAATTAACTGTGAAGGTGATGCATTGTATTTAATGCGATGCATCGAGTTGAAATGTTTAGGTTGCCTGCATGCGGACTACAGGAGTAATTTAGTTTAATGTTCAGAGACAAACAAAGGTCTATTTACTGCACCACAACCACACGTAATGAGATTGGATGCGTTGTAGATGGTTCTTTATCTAGCCAAGTCTCACCGAATAAACGTGGGTCACCACGGGTCATGGAAATTACCGTCAAATGTGTAAATGTGAAGAATAATGGAGACGCTAAAACTGGAGATTAGAAAGTCGTGAATGATAGTGTAAAGTATATATTTTTAATAAATATATAATTAATCAACCCTTGATACTTCAACAGTAGTGTGTTTGTCGGTGAAAATGACAAAAGCCGAAGATACTCACTTGTGCTCACTATCACAGGAGGAAGAGCATCTCCACAGAATCTAAAAAAACACAAAACACAAATTTCAAGCGTCCCCGAACAACCACAGCCTGCGGCGGAGGAACTGGGGCAAGGGTCATGGCAGACCTCGTGTGGAAGCCCCTGGAACCCTCTGGAGGGTTCGAGAAGGGAGGCGCGGCTAGGGTGGAGCCAAGCCACGCCAAGGGGAATATAATCAGCGGAAAGCGAGAGCTCCGGGCTGACGGTTCTGGCATTAGACTTGTCCCGTCATCGCTGTCGTCGTCGCCGCCCTCGTCACTACCGCCTTCGCCCGATCATTGTGCGGCCGGACATTAGTTGGCTGTCGTTGGTGCAACGCGGACAGGGTCGTGTCTGGGACGGGTCGTGCGGCAGCGGGGTCGTGTAAGAGAGAGGGGGGGCCCAAGTGGTGGCGTGAGCTCGGCAACAACAATAAAAGAGGAGGACGGTGCCTCCTGCGACCACCTCATCTCCGACTGACTGCGTGTTGGACGCTCCCCACCTGCACGCACAGACGACACTACACATACAGACAACTACCTCGCTTGGTATACAGAGATTGTGGTTTCAATCCTGACCAAGACGCCTGTACATTGAGTCTGCATGCTCTCCCCATGGTGGCGTACATTTTTTCCTTGGGTCCTCTGGTTTTTCCCCTCCACATTTAGAAGCAACGTGCATTTAGAGTATTTGGCTGCTATAAATGTCCACATAAGCCGCTTCGTTGAGCTATGATTTGTGATCGCCAGGTCGCTTATGAAAAACAGCTATAAAATAGCACGTGGGTTTTACCTGGTAAAAAAAAAACAATATTGAAGTTAATTTTTTTAAATAAGCAGTGGGGGGAGCACGTCTCCAGCTGTACCTGTCGACGAGTCCGGACACGTCCTCGTAGCTGTCATAGACCTCCAAGAAGTCGGCGAGACACCCTCCGTCTCGCTCAAGGTCGAAGTCCAGGAAGGAGAGGCGGACACGCTTGCTGACCGGCACGCGTACGGTCCACACGCAGCTCCTGAGCGCCGCGTAGCCCGGGTAGTCTGGTGAGCTGAGGTTCAGCGCCGTCTCCATGTGCCTGCCTCCGCACGTCCCCACTGTCATTCATGGCGGACGCATTCGTTTGTGAATTAAGGGACCCGCAATTGGAAGGCTTCGTCATTAGCGCCGCTTGGTAAAAATCGGGGATGCAGGTCTCCCTTAATATTCTACTGAATGCTGCCAGGCCTGGCTTTGAGAAGGGATTATCAGTGTAAGGCACTACAACTAGAGGATGTGGTATGCGTATCTGTAATAATCACACGTTCACGTCAATAACACTGCCAAGTAAATATGTATAATAGGTGACGTTTTAGGTGATGGACCTTCTTCAAAGCTCATTAATTTGCTACATCATGGGACCTCCTTTGCTGTTCGCCTTTTGGCGTCCTCTGGTCTAACACTGTTTGAGACTAGGCTCTAAAGAAAGCTGTCTCTGGTGTGGACCAATCCGTTTCAAAGACAATGCATATGTAACGCGATAAACGGGGTACTTACCTGCACTAGCAGACATCCACCAGTAGGGTGTGATGTGTAGGCCACCAAGGTTCCCCAGACCCCAAGAGGGGGGCTGGGGGAAGATTCCAGGTCCCTCTGGAACTCTCTGGAAGAGGGGCGTGATGAGGGACGTGGAAACCCTGGCAGGTGTATAAAAGCCGGACCCCTGACCCGGGTTCAGCAGTGTTCCTCCATTCTAGATTTGAAGTTTTCGTGACTGCAAGGGTCCATACTCTTTGGTATTTTCGGTAAAGTCACGTAGGTAAAAAATAAAATGAATCACGACGTTTCGGAGGCAACACAAGCTTCCGTCTTCAGATGGAACCGTCACAGCAAAATTACTGTATCAAGTGAAGAGAGCTCTAAGAGACACGAGAATATATACAGGTTAAGGGGGGGGAGGAGCCAGGATGGGCCGTGTGGGGGGGCTAAGTTAAGCCGCCTTTTGTTATGCTGCAGGGGATTAGGAGTATGGATGAGCGGATGGGCGGAGAGAAGTGTGCCGTGGTTGAAAAAATTGCACACAGGAACACAGTTAAAAAATGGAGGCAGTATTTAAGCTGACAAACTGGTTGCCTTGCAGTATACTGCAGTAAACCATAAGGCTGCTAAAATTAAACTTGGTTTAACTTGGTTAAAAAGGGGATAATCAAGCTGGGAATAGAAAACAACTGGATGAAATGGAAATGGCTGTACAATTATAAGGCAGCTAAAGTTTTACTTGGTTGATGACATCTTTCAATTGATTGCTTAATTTAAAACCATCCTCTCGGTTGAAGTTGTGTCTATGTTTGTATATCTGGATGGCTTCATGGACAAATCTTTGGTAGTATCTGGGAGGTTTGCGGAGTACTTTGGTATCGGAGAAAACAATATCATGAGAACTCGCTGTGTTGAAACAATGATCAGCTACGGTCGAAGAATTCGTTCTACCGTGTTTCAAATCTGATTTGTGCTCGCGAATTCGGTCAGAAAGATGTCGTTTCGTCTCCCCGATATAGCAGTCACCGCAGGTATAACTCAATTTGTAAACACCGGGGTACTGTAAGTCAGCAATGACATCCTTTACAGATGAGATCAGATCACGGATTTTGTGTACTGTATTGAATCGGACCTGGATCTTGTGTTTGTTTAGAATTTTGGAAATCTTTTTGGTAACACCTGCTATGTATGGCAACATGATGGTTTTGATCGGAGTTTCAGGTGGTTGTTTCTGTATGGTGGGAGAAACAGCTTGGCGGATAGTATGGTCAGAGTATCCGTTCATCTTGAGGGCCAGATGTACATGTTTTAATTCACTGGCCAGGTGGTGTTGGTCAGAGATGCAATGAGCCCTATGGTATAGTGTTTTGATGAGGGAATTATTTTGAGCCGGGTGGTGGTGGATATCAGGCTTCAAGTAGGAATCTGTGTGGGTGGCCTTCCTGTAAACAGAATGTCCCAAGGAGCCATCAGGCCTCCTCTCAAACAGAACATCCAAGAATGGCAGCTTGCCATCTTTCTCCACTTCCATGGTAAATTTGATGGATGGGTGTCTGGAATTGATGTCGTCTAGGAAATGGTTCAATGCTGGGAGGCAATGTGGCCAAATGACAAAAGTGTTATCCACATATCTCTTCCACAGGGAAGAACGAAGGGTGGATGTCTGGATGGCATCTGATTAAAATTTCTCCATGAAAACATTGGCTATGTCCATGTTTTCATGGAGAAATTTGAATCCTTGGGCTCACTACACATATACTATCAGGGCATGTTTTTGTTTGTATTTTCACCACAAGCATATGTGGTTAATGCAGACATGATGCCTTGCAAAATGATTCAGTTTAATGTTTTAACATCTTAACACCTGTTTTGTTGCCAGAAAAAAGGGGAAAACCTATTCTTATCTCATTTTATTTTGTCTTGTGGTAAGCATGCAAACCCAGTACGAGAAGGTGGTTTCAGGGTAGGAAAAAGGACTTTCGGCGCTTGCTCATTTGATTTTTAGATTGTTTTTGGGGCAGTGTTATGGACACATTTGTTGAGTTAGTGTAATTTGCACGTACGCACCAACACAGCGTATTACAAAAACGTCGTTCAATTTTCTATTTTGACAGGCAGAGCAGCGGCACTTAGAGGGGGGAGGGGGTGGCACTACCTTTCTTCCTGTAGCAGTAGGCGTCCCAGCGCTCTGAGCGGTTGAGTCGCACGCCGTAGTCTACGACGCCGACTTTGCCGAACCCGCACTGTTGGCTCGCCTTGGTGACGGGGTAGGCGACCCGCGCGTCCGCCAGCCAGCCGGCCACACAGTTGTGCAGGCCTGGACACATGGACACACGCATGCCGTCACTCCATCTAGGCTCGAGGACATTATCCCAGCTCAGCTCTATTCCTTCACCTGAGCCGCAGGTCCTGGACCAGGCTTTAAGGTATGTGGTTTCACAGACGAATGATGGGGGGTGGGGGGAGTTAGGAATTTTTTTTATTAATATTTGGTGGTTTGAACAAAGGTTTGGAACCACTGGACTAGATCTGGTTTTGACTGGCCTGGAGGAAGCTGGCCTCAACCTAAGTCTTGTAGCTCCTGGCCTTAAATCCAAGAAAATATCGAATACACAAAATGCTCAGTGATTGTGCCATGAAGATATGTTTTTTCTTTGGCAGTATTAAGATAAAAAAACATATAACTCTAGCGGAGTTAAATACATATTTAATTACAATTTTCCATGTAAATAGACCAACGGAAATGGTTTGTTTTAAAGTGACAGCCGAGATGTGCCGCCATCAGGTGAGGCGATTGATCGTTTTGTCCTAGTGAGCTGCTATTGAGGCCCCCCCCCCCCCCCTCACAGCCACCTGGCCACATCTCTTGAATATCCGAGGAGAAAAAACCCCCATAATTTCCCTTGGGTGGTTTCAAACTGGAATGCACATCGGTGGAGAACAGCAGATGTGTGGGGTTGGTATTGGCAGACCAGCGCGTTGAGCCTTCCGCAGTTGCGCGATGGTGGCCAGGGCCCCGCCCTCGTAGGCGCAAATGGCCCGGGCCTCCCGCAGGGTGAGGAGATAGCGGCCATGCCGGGAGTGGATGTGGAAGACGTCCGCCGCCTCCTCTGTACGCAACAAAACACACACGCATGCGTCTGTGTGTTTTTATCTTTGTGTACCCCCACAGGCGCATGTGGGGGTGGGGAGCGGTAGTGTAGCGGTTATCGCACTGCACTTAAGAACCCGCCAACCTGAGTTCAATTCTCACTCACGGCTAACACCAGTGACGATTATCTGAACTGGTCATGGGCCTCCGCTAGGTCGACTCAAATGAGTACCGAGTGCGGTGTGTAAACGTCGCCACTCGGGAAAGAAAGGCGGCCCGATGTGGTGCTGACCACCTCGTGCGCCGTGTTGGCCTTCATGGGCTCTACCTCACTAACAGCTCTTGCCCAAGAGCCTGCTTAGGCTATACGGGGAATGTTCGTCTTGGTATGGAGCACGGTTCTCGATTGAGTGCAGTAATAGTGACTTACTGTCGTGAGAGATTGAACCGGTTAATACGGTAACTGATTCATGGGTTCCCCCCCCCCATCTCCTCCCAGAACCGCGCGATTCTAAATTTGGGAAATTCCATCAATGAATGCTAACTTGGCTTCGACTTTTTCAGCTTCAGTTTTAGTTCCAGAAAATGAAACGGTTTGTAGCAATTTTTTTCCGTTTCAGAGTTAATTTTCCATTTACCGTGTCTATGAACTCGTGAGTGCAGTTACTTCGACACCGCCGACGCCCGGGGTATACCCGTTATCGTACCCAGCAACACGGAGTTATGCCACACGTCGTCTCTGAAGGCCCATCCGTGGGCCTCACCAATCCAGCCCAACAGGGCGCACGCCAGCCACATCGCCATCCGCACGTCCAGCCACGCCAACGTCCGCACCGTCCGCATGGTCCAGCAAATGTCCCACGAGGCAGTCCCGCCACCTGCGTATACACAGATTGAACACTCGTTTCTTTACGACTGCATGTTGTTAGGTTTGTTGTCCCACCTCCCGTACCTCCGATAAGCACGATTGGCTATGTACGGCGCAAAAGAAGTTCAACGTATAGCACACAGAGGCACCTGCGTACATATGTAGTGGGTTCCAGGAGACCGGAGACGGAGTACTTGAGGCAACACGTTTATTTACTAATTGTGGAATGCACGGTCCCTAACACAGAGGGGTAACGGCCCCTCCACCCAATACCTAGAGAAGTATGGCCTCCGGGCTAGCGTGTCCTATCACTGGAACCACACTCACAATCCCTGTCGCTAAGGGGACCTAAGGGGAGGCTCCCTGACTCGACCCAGCCAAGGTCCTCAGGTCTCGACCACTGGCCCACTCGGTCCCAGCCCTTACAAGGACGTCGGGTCCCGGGGGTTCCCAGAGTCCGACCACTGGCCCTCTGCAGTCTCGGCCTTTACAAGGACGTCGGGACTGGGGGTTCTCAGGCTCCTAGCCTAAGCTGGTCTTCTTGCTTCAGCTTCACGGAGACTGCCGGACTCGTCCAAAGGTCCGGCTTTTATACCCGTGCCAGGATCTCTCTGCTCCTGGCCACGCCCTCCTTCTGGAACTCTCTAGGGGGCTCTGGAATATCCCCCCCAACCCCTCTCTTGGGGCTGGGAGAGCCTAGTTTCCCAACGGCCCGGCTCATCCTGCTCATCTCGGGTTACCAGCCCCTATGGACACGTGTCTGCTACTACAGGTAAGTGTGCATAACAATGCTATATACAATGCCTGACAACGACGCTACACATATGACATGTGCAAGTGTATATACAGATGCGTGTATATACAGGGGGTCCGGAAAGTTGCGACTTACGACTTACTTTCCCCTCATAGGAACACTACCTGTTAATGGGGGAGGAGGGGAGGATTAGGGACTTGCAACGGAGTAAACATTGCCTACGCGACGCAAAGTGGGTCAATTTCTCCCAAAAGAAACAATGGCATAAGGTAGGGGATAGGGACCGTAACTTTGGTAAATGCTGTTTCATACCTAGCAACAAAAGACGTACTTTAAATGTAGAGAAATGCAGGTACCATACTATATTGTATAGTACACGAGCTTTACTACACAGCTTCGCCCGGGACTTGGATTCACCACGCCTGGCCGTCTTTGTCTGCTCAGTGGCGATGTTCACACACCAGACCAATTACTCGTTTGAGGCTGAGTCGATCTAGGGGAGGCCCAGGACCGGTTCAAATAATCGTCACTGGTGGTGGCCGTGAGCGGTGGTGGCCATGAGCGGGAATCGAACTCGGGTCGCCGGGTTCATAGCGCAGCACGCGAATCGCTACGCTTTCGCTGCCCCCCCCCCCCCCCCCCCCCCCCGCAAATATGCCCGACTGTGAGGGCGGGCAAAAGCCGGCGTGGGTAGGTTAAACGTTGAGTTTTATAAGGGCACCACGGGGTGTCCAGCCCCTTCCCACCCAGCCCCACCCCTCCCACCCCACACCCAGCCCCACTCTCCCCACGCAGCCCCTCCCTGCACGACGGACGGACACAATAATCCCCTGTGGGCTGGTGTAACCAGGAGGTTCCTACCAGTATAAGAGATGCTCACTGAACAACTTCTATTGAAAGACTGAACGAAAAATATGGCGCGTGGCGCGAACGCCGTGGAAGGTTTGGGATGAAATCGCACGAAAGAGGAAAGCCACGTGGACGAAATTTGAAATGTGGTTATAGTTGAAAACGGCCGAAAGAGCGAATCGACGAAAGTCAAGTGGACGAAAGTGAAGGTATCGCTGTACAAGAATACGGGGTAAGCCGTATGGGTTGACAGATATACGTCAAAGGTACGGTTCAACTTCCAACCCCCACTACGCTATCGCCATTTTAACATCGAGCCGAAATCATCCCCGCCCTTCTTTCCTACGCGTCACCACCTGCACGTGTCGTCACAAGACACCAACGCTTGCTGGTTGCTGCCCCACCCCCCCCCCACCCCACCTGTCGAAAATTTCGCTAAGATATTTTCTTGCGATGGAGGGGGAGCGGGGAGTCTACGTCGACCTCTACAATGGAGCACTCTCGCCACGCACGCCGGAAAGCAAACCACGTGCTGGGACCGAGGAGATGGGCGGCGCGTGCGCAAGTTGTACATTACCTCTATGCACCCTACCCAGCCCCCCACCTCTCCCCGAAAGAGCCGAGTCGAGTCGAAAATTATTAATTGAAAAAGACAATCGTCACTGGTGTTGTTGTTCAATGTTTCTGATCCAGATGTCCCAACAGGTAATATAAACAGTTTAACATTTTTTAACGGCATACCCCAAGTATATACGTGAAAGGGATTCCACCCGAATCGTCATGATCAGTAATGTACACTGAGTAACAAAGACAAAAATCCCCCGTATAGCCTTTAACAGGCCGGCACACGAGGTGGTGGGTGGTAAGCACCACGCCCGGCCCGCCTTTGTCTCCCTCACAACAATGTTTACACACCGCACCGGGTACTCATTTGAGGCCGAGTCGACCTACGGGAGTGTCCAGAACCGGTTCAGATTAATCGTCATCTGGTGTTGGCACCAAGTGCTAAGCACAATATTTTCGACTCGGCTCAGCTGAACAGTCAAAAAACTATGTCATAAAAAAAACATGACTTTTTCGCCAGTATTAAAGTATGAAAAAATAAGCATAGGTTTCGTAGCTGCTCACCCCGAGTTAGAAATGCTCTGATAGTGCATTGTCTTTGTGCTGTTCGCATTTTGGCGTTCTCTGGTCTGACACTAGTGAGACAATGCCCTAAAGAAGGCTGTCTCTGGTGTAGGCCAATCAGTTTAAAAGACAATGCGTATATTGTCATCCGAGCATGTTTGCGTTGCATGATTTGCCACAAGTGTGGTTAACGCAAACTTGATACCTTACAAAAGGTTTCTATTTACTGTGTTGAACATCTTAACACCTCCTGTTCTATTGCCAGAAAGGGGTAAAACCCATTCTTGTTTTTTTCATACGACGTAATTATAAGCGGGGAAGTGTTACGTTGTGTTGCTAAAAAGGACGGCGACGTAGGTGTTAGACAACGTATATCAAGACTGCCCCCCCCCCGTACTTTTGTGATGTGTGTCGTGCATCGGCAAGTGCGCTGCACTACGAAACCCACCCAGCGTCCATGAGTTCGATTCCCGCTCACCGTCAACACCAGTGACGATGATCTTAACCGTGCCTGGGATTTCCCCTAGGTCAACTCGGCCTCAAAAGGGGTACAGTACCTGTTGCGGTGTGTAAATATCGCCACCAGGGAGACAAAGGCGGGCGGCGTGGTGGTGGCCACCTACCCCTCACTTGCCGTGCCGACCTTTATAAGTTCTCGGTAACAACACTTGCTACAAGTCTGTTAAACGCTATACGGGGAATCTTTGTAACTGTGTACATGTGTACATGTGTGTGTCCGTGTACCTGTGTGTTTGTGTGTGTACCCATGTGTATATGTGTACTTGTGTGTATCCGTGTACCTGTGTGTCTGTGTACCTGTGTGTCTGTGTACCTGTGTGTCTGTGTACCTGTGTGTCTGTGTATACCTGTGTGTGTCTGTGTACCTGTGTGTATCCGTGTACCTGTGTGTATCCGTATACCTGTGTCTGTGTACCTGTGTGTCTGTGTACCTGTGTGTGTGTACCTGTGTGTATCCGTGTACCTGTGTGTATCCGTATACCTGTGTGTATCCGTATACCTGTGTGTATGTGTACCTGAGTGTGTCTGTGTACCTTTGTGTATACATGTTTGTACCTAAGCGACGTGTGTCTGTGAACATGTTTGTCTTTGTATACGGAAACCTGCGTACTGTACATGTGAAATTATGGTGTGTACCCGCGTACGTATGTGCATGTGTGTACCTATGTGTGTATACGTACCTGTAAGTGTGCGTGACAGGCGCGCACGAGTGCGGACACGATCTGTGTAATGTTTGCTGTGTGCGCGGCAGTGCACGATGGAGACTGGAGAGAGAGAGAGGGGTGTTTGTGTGCCGGGTACACGGGATGTGCGCATTTCCATTCTCAAATCAGCCATGGGGGCGATAGTGGGGGGAGGAGGGTTGATAGTGGGGGGAGGAGGGGGGGGAGTGGGTGGAGGAGGGTGGGGAGTGGGTGGAGGAGGGTGGGGAGTGGGGGGAGGAGGGGGGATAGTGGGTGGAGGAGGGGGGTAGTGGGGGAGGAGGGGGGTAGTGGGGGGAGGAGGGGGGATAGTGGGGGGAGGAGGGGGGATAGTGGGGGGAGGAGGGTTGATAGTGGGGGGAGGAGGGTTGATAGTGGGGGGAGGAGGGTTGATAGTGGGGGGAGGAGGGGGGGTAGTGGGGGGAGGAGGGTGGATAGTGGGGGGAGGAGGGGGGATAGTGGGGGGAGGAGGGTTGATAGTGGGGGAGGAGGGTTGATAGTGGGGGGAGGAGGGTTGATAGTGGGGGGAGGAGGGTTGATAGTGGGGGGAGGAGGGTTGATAGTGGGGAGAGGAGGGTTGATAGTGGGGGGAGGAGGGTTGATAGTGGGGGGAGGAGGGTTGATAGTGGGGGGAGGAGGGTTGATAGTGGGGGGAGGAGGGTTGATAGTGGGGGAGGAGGGGGGATAGTGGGGGGAGGAGGGGGGATAGTGGAGGGAGGAGGTATCCGTGTACCTTTGTGTATGCACGTTCGTACCTAAGCAACTGTGGCTCATGCAGCTGCAATGGCTGCTTTGGGTACACGGTCCAGACCTCCCCAGAGATCCTGGCTGACAGAGGAGGTGTTCAAGCTGCCTGAGAAAAAGCGACAGGCCCACTCTCATCGACTACAGCATCCCACGTTGGAGAATAAGGAGGCTTACTGCAGCCTTCGCTTGGAGGTTCGGAGAGCCGTGAGGCGTTGCAAGAATGGGTGGTGGTCGCGGGTTGCTGAGGAGATGGAGTCTGCCTCAATGGCCCGCGATCACAAATCGCTATTTAATTCCATAAAAAAGCAGCCTGCAGCACCACACCTATTACCATCATTAGGGGAAAGAACGGTGATCCAATCTCCGACCCCCAGGAACAGGTTTGCAGATTTGCTGAGCATTTCTGTGAGGTCCTGGGGAAGGGGAAATCCCTCAGCCAGGAAAACATCATGACACAAAGTGGGGATGACCCTGCTGAGGCTGCGGTGCCTCAAATATTGGAGGTCACCCCCTGTGAGTGGCTGGCTGAGGTGCCATCTGTTGAGGAAGTACTGAAGGAAATCCAGAGACTGAGACCAGGAAAGGCACCGGGCAGAGATGATCTTCCAAGCCAAATGCTCAGGGAGGGTGGCGTTTGTGCACAGACTGCCCTATATGACATCATAACAACAGTCTGGACCACTGGACGGGTTCCGCAGGACTGGTAGGATGCCCTGGTGGTCCCGCTATTTAAAAACAGGGGGACCACCAGGGGGACCGGACAGACTGTAACAACTACAGGGGCATCTCACTCCTCAGTGTGCCGGGAAAGGTCCTGGCAAGAAGTATTCAACATCACCTTGCTAGGTACGCTGAGGAGAGGCTTGTGGAGCCCCAATGCGATTTCAGGATAGGGCGGTCCTGCACAAATGCCATATTTTCTGTCCGTCTGCTACAGCAGAAGTGTAGGGAATTCCAACAAGACCTCCATCTCTGCTTTATTGACCTGGTCAAGGCCTATGATACCATTAGTAGGCCTGGGCTCTGGGTAATTCTTCGTGCTTTCGGAGTCCCTGACCCTCTGTTCACGATCATTAAGGATCTTCATGATGGTGAGTAGGCCCGGGTAAAACTACGTGGCCGGGAGTCGGAGCCATTCCCTGTACACCTTGGGTGCGACAAGGATGTCCTCTGGCTCCCACATTATCTAACATCTATTTCGACCACGTAGTTCGTGAAGCCTTCAATAGCTGTACCGGAGGAATTTCTATCTGGTACAGATACAATGGGAGGCTGATCGATGCCCGGGTGCAGTTAAGAGATTGCTCCCTATTGCTCAACCATGTTATGTATGCCGATTATCTGATAATTGCTGCTCACCCAGAGCAGGAGTTGGAGGCGCTGCTGCTGAACCTGGAGCTTGCCACTAAGAGGTGGTGGGTTGCCTTACCATCAGCCCCACCAAAACTAAGCACCTGCCTAGGTATTTTGTACCATCGGACACTCCACCCCTACAACTCCCAATTGGTGGTAGGGCAGTTGTGGAGAGAGTGGAGAGTTTCCCATACCTGGGCAGTGTGCTCATGACCGGCTCCAGTTTAACAGCCTAGATATCACTCCGAATCAGTCGAGCGGCATTATCTTTTCATCGGTTGCGCAACTCTGTGTGGAAGCTACCTGGTCTGTCGCTCCGCACGAAGCTTCAGGTCTTCTCGATATTGGTAATTCCCTCCCTTCTTTACGCTTGCAAAACGTGGACCCCCCTAATGGAACATCTTAGAAACATTTAGGCTGGCCTGCCTACGATCCAACCTGGGTTTAACCAGGCTGGATTGTGTGAGGAGCACACAAATCCTTGAAAGATCTGGACAAAGTCCCATCGGTGAGCTCCTCCGGCAGGCAAGGCTGTGTTGGCTGGGCCATGTAGCCCGCATGTCCAGCTACCGCATGCCTAAGCAGCTTTTGTTCGGCCGGATCGAGGGGGCGAAACGGGCGCGGCACGGGCTGTAGAAGAGATGGAGTGATGTGGTACAGGAGGACGTGGAGCTGAGTGGACTTGCCGATGACTGGTACCAATGGTGTCAAGATCGGCCTCTGTGGAGGAGGCTCGTGATGGACGCTACTTCGGCAGTTGGAGGCAGTCGCCCTCCAGCAACAACGGAGGGCGGAGAAGCGACGCTCACAACAACGAGCGGAGCGCCGGGTGGCTAAAGCACAGTAAGTTGGCACAGTAGGGGGCACAGGTGGTGCATCAGCCAGTAGTTTCAGTCAGTCGACCTGTGGCATCTGGGTCTGCCCCGTGACCGTCTGCCAGCGGGCGTTCGACACTTCACGTGGCCTCAAGGTGCACATAGCCTGGCACAAGCGTCGTGGTGACATCACCGCCACTTAGTGGTGAATGGCGGTTGTTGTTGTATCCGTGTACCTTTGTGTATGCATGTTTGTACCTAAGCGACGTGTGTCTGTGAACATGTTTGTCGTTGTATACGGAAACCTGTGTACTGTACATGTGAAATTATGGTGTGTACCCGCGTACGTATGTGCATGTGTGTACCTATGTGTGTGTGTATAGTACCTGACAGGCGCACGAGTGCGGACAAGATCTATGTAATGTTTGCTGTGTGCGCGGCAGTGCACGATGGAGGCTGGAGAGAGAGAGAGGGGTGTTTGTGTGTGCCGGGTACACGGGATGTGCGCATTTCCGTTCCTAAATCAGCCTTGGGGGCGATAGTCGGGGGAGGAGGGGGGGGCGATAGTAGGGGGTGGGGGAGGGTGGGGGGCGAATAGTGGGGAGAGTGGGGTAGCGATAGTGGGGGGGATGGGGGCCAATAGTGGGGTGGGGGAGGTTGGAGGGCGAGTGGGGGGCGATAGTGGGGAGTGGTGGGGGACGAGTGGGGGGCGATAGTGGGGGGAGGGTGGGGGAGGCGATAGTGGGGGAGGGTGGGAAGACGATAGTGGGGGGAGGGTGGGGGGCTCAAATTATTTTGTAATCATTTATTTGCATGGACACACGATACAGGATGGTCCAGATGTCTTGACCCCGAATTAATGAACCGTATGGAAATGAACTTTGCATATTGCGTTGCGTTTTTTCCCTTCCCCCTCACACCTCCGTTTGGCTACGTACGGTGCGAAAGAAGTACAACGTACATCTTAATGAATCGTGTGTTCAAGGTGTTCCATCTCTTATATAAACCGTACTTAAACAATATTAAGTTTGACAATATAAATGGGGTGGGAGCGGGGTAACAGGCCACAATACATCTCGACCACGTGATATACAGAACGGTGCACTTCCATCACTTCCTACATTTAAAAACGAGATAATTGTTTTGTTTACACATTTCACGAGCCACACAGGCCTCTAATGATTGCATCATTTCAGCAGCATTAGTTCAACACACGCAAACTCGATCTGCCTCGATGTCCAGTGTCTCGTGAGCAGAGTTAGGCTTCCTTGAACTCGGTCTTACAGAACATTGTGTGAAGATGCAGAATGTCCATCAGAGTGGACTTTCCTCCTTTTTTAATTCTGGTTTTGATCTTCCACGAAGCACATGGTCAACCCTAAACCGCATTCGTACAAACCGTGGCAGCAAGTGCGGATACACGGATGCACAAAATGAAAAATCTCCAATAGCGTGTGACTATGGGTATCCAAAACAAACGCCGTACAACGTATTAGGGACGCAATGATGACCCGATCCACAAATACGAAGGCGACATCACAGCGATGATGATACCCTCTGCTCGCTACTCCTTGACGCGGCCAACTGCTGGCTTGATCCACATGAATGTGAAATTGTCGTCGTTCTGCATTTACAGCAGCCATATGAAACAAGAAGTCGAATTTTAAAAGCCAATGGTTATTGAAAACATGGCAGAGCATGCCAGGCTGGGTAGCGCAGCCTCTGCTCAACGAGTGTTCCGATCTTCTGCCTCTACCGTGCCCACTCCCCCGAGTCTGCGCCACCCGTCTAACAATGCAGCTGCGGAGATAATCAGTCCAATTAACGCATCCCCAGAACAATGGTAACAATTACTGATTTACCCCCGACTGTATATCACCCCCGCACCCACCCTGACTAAGGGGCCGTACATAAAAGACGTCACGCACCTAGGGGGGGGGGGGGGGGTCAGACATTTGTGACGATGTGTGACGAGGGGGGGGGTTTGAGAAATGTGACGTCAATAAATATATAATTGTCTTAACAACACTAATTGTTATAACATTCCTACAACATCAGAGTGCAGCGCCACATTAAATACGCACTACAATGACAATAGTTTAAAGCGATTTGAAGCATGTTTTATTTTCAAAATGGAAATATGGTTTTGGGGGGGGGGACAAAGCTTTGTGACGT